ATCCATAGAGTCTCCCGCACTCTTCACCTAACTCTTGACCCAGGGGCCATGAATTTCACAATTTGGAAGAGGCATTCTTCTTTATCATAACCATGCACTTCCTTTGTTTGAATAATACCAAGGAGCAGAGAAGATTTTCAAAGAACTAATGCATTTTCACTATATAATCAATAGAGCCCCGCCCTAACACCAGAACCCCAGACCCAGGAGCCATAAAATTCACAATTTCTGAAGAGGCAGCCATGCTAATCATAACTATGTTCTTAGTTACTTTATTTAATACCCAGGAGCAGAGAAGAAGATTTTCAAAGAATTAATGCATTTTCACTATATAATCAATAGACCCCCCCCCCCTTACACCAGAACCCCTGACCTTGGGGCCATGAAATTCATAATTTTGGAAGAGGCACTCTTGCTCATTATAACTATGTACTTAGTTACTTTATTTAATACCCAGGAGCAGAGAAGAAGATTTTCAAAGAATTAATGCATTTTCACTATATAATCAATAGAGCCCCGCCTTAACACCAGAACCCCTGACCCTGGGGCCATGAATTTCACAATTTTGGAAGAGGCACTCTTGCTCTTCATAACTATGAACTTAGTTTATTTAATATTCAGGAGATGAGAAGATTTTCAAAGAAATAATGCACTTACACTATATGATCTATATAGCCCCATCCTAGCACCAGAACCCCTGACCCTGGGGCCATGAATTTCACAATTTTGGTAGAGGGCTCAATGCTTATTACAATGATGCCAACAGTTTGAGTGCTTGATGTCCAGGAGTAAAGAAGAAGATTTTTAAAGATTGCATTATTTTTGGTGGTTTTAGCCCCACCCCTCAGGCTCCAGGGGTGCAGGGACCATGAAATTCACAATTTTTGTTCCCCTTCACCCATAGATGCTATATGCCGAATTTGGTTGAAATTGGTTAAGCGGTTAAGGTCAGACGAAACGTTCCTCAAAAATATATAATTTTTCCCAAGAATTTGTCGTTGAAGTATTGCTACTTAAACAAGTTTCCTCAAGAAAAATTGAGGTACCCTACCAGGCATTTGGGCAAGATACCAGAGGGTGATATTTCCTATATAATCCATATTGGTAATCTTTTGAATTGCCAATGTTACAATTTCTGGTGTACTTATTTTTTAAAACATATTGAAAACAATTAAGAAATCACAAGAGAATGACAATTATGAATAATTTTTGATATAATACTAAGGTATACAAAACATGTAATTGAGTAACGTGTCGTCTGACCTTAACACACGACGCACGACGCACACCGACGGACGAGAACGGATAGCAATAGGTCACCTGAGTGACTCAGGTGACCTAACAACGTTAAATACTATTCTTTTCAAATATAAAAATCATATCTTTAATATGAGTTCTTCGGCGATATATGTTAAGAAGCATAGTTTTCACATACGCTCTCATTTTCATCTTCTTGGAAGAGATAATTTTAAACAGTTTTCAGCTTAGTGTAATGACCATGCTTACTTTAAAAGTGAATTTCTTTGCGAGGACAATAGGAAATATCAAGGGGTATTCTGTGATTAGGAGCTCTTTAACTGAACGTTTCAACTGTGAAAAAATAAAATTAGGTAGATCTACATTTACTATGATATACTGTTTGTTGCATTATTTATTGAACGACCCTCGTATCTTTCTTGATATGGCCCAATATTTTTTCACGGTATCATCAAAAGTTGATATTATTCTTACATGATTAACCCCTCTCCAAATTTATATATGGTGGCACAAATGTTTAAACTTTCCTGTAAAGACAATTCATATACTTGCCTTCATTGAAATTGTTACCGAAATGTTCAAAAAATGTTTCCTGGATACAAAATTAGATTTGTTTGTCCCTCATTCTAAATTTCGTTTTTAAACCATATATTGAAAAAAAAAAAACTGTTCATAAGATAAAATTATGGAAAAATTTCTGAAAAAAATATGTGTTTGTTTTGTTTTTCGGGCAAAAACATAAGGTTGAAAACAGGATAAATAACATAACCAATGTCATATTCAGGATCTGAGTGTCTGATTAATTCTATACTCATACCTTTTAACCGGGTACAGTGTTTCTAATTCAATAAAAATATCATATTACACCAATACCCATACCCATACTCCCTTTACAGAACATGGCGTTAATTGAATCATCATTTTTTTTCTCTCTCTATTGAACATCACATTTACAACAACAACAAAAAATAGTTTGAGGCAAATTTTGATTTATTATTCAAAATTATTCAAACTTTTTTGCCTTAGATGTTGGGTAAAATTTGATTTTTCAATTAGAATAATTTATTATTTCTTACCAGCAAATGTTTTAACTTGAAATACTATAATTTCTTAACTAATTTGAGTGGTAAAATTTCAATATCGCATTTAACATGAGAAATCACTGTATTCCCTTCTGAAAAAAATTATTTAGAATAATTTGGGATCATTTTTGACATGACAGACATAGTCAATATAAAAGACCTTCACATACTGTTACATGTTTTTTGTTTCAAACAATTTTTAATGAAACATATAGTAAAAAAGAATAAAACTAGTTTCGTACTTTAGATTCAAGGCGTTAAATCCAGTACACATTCCATTAAAACCTCCCTCTCTCTCTCTCTCTCTCTCTCTCTCTCTCTCTCTCTCTCTCTCTCTCTCTCTCTCTCTCACACACACACACACACACACACACACACACACACAAATCAGGTTAACTTTTAAAATCTCGTAGCTGGGTAAAATTTTGTCAAATCCGATCAGTTCCGACAAAGTCAGATATGGCATCGAATCCTATTACATGTACATGTAATTATAAGCTTTGACTAATTCATGTTTGATTTTGAAACTACAGTATCATTGTGTTTAAATGCAAAACAGATCCTTATAAGGAAGGATTATTGCGATTAAACGCAATGATTATTGCGTTTAATCGCAAAAATTATTGCGTTAAATTGCAAAAATTATTGCGTTTAATCGCAATACTATTGCGTTTAATCGCAAATCATTGCGTTTAAACGCAAAAAGTATTGCGTTTAATCGCAAAGTTATTGCGTTTAAACGCCAAAGATTGCGTTTAATCGCAATCTTTTGCGTTTAAACGCAAAGTGTTTTGCGTTTAAACTCAATATACATTGCGATTAATCGCAATCTTTTGCATTTAAACGCAATGATTATTGCAATATTTATTGCGTTTAAACGCAATAAAAAATATTTCTTTCTCTGAACTGGCCTCAACGGTCTTCCGTAAAGGAGTATCAAAAAGTGAAATGAATTTCATGATTGTGAATTCAAATGATTGTAATTATAAATTATTACCAAACTAAATATATTTCTCTTTTTGAAAGATCTTTTTTCGAATGTAAGATTGCATTTTTTTAAATGTAGATTATTAATTACTAAAGAATTTATGGTGGCATATTTATGCCATCCACATAATTTTTTGTCAACATAAGATAGCCCGTCATGTCAAGATAGCTATCTCGTCGACTCAAGATAAGTTGCTGGTTTTGTCGAGATACACCAACTTCTATCTCTTCTAGTCAAGACAATCTATCACATTTTGTTGTGAAAGCTATCTCGACATAACGGGATAATTTATCATGTATCGTGACTAAAATTGTTGCGTTGACAAGTACTGCCTCTTCATAATTGCAGTCACGATAACTGTATATGTACATGTACTAGTATATAAATAGATAACGTGCTACGGGTTGCACGCATAATTTCGAAGGAATTCAGTCTGAACCAATGTGTGTTCATACTGCGTCCTTGTTTTCAGTAAAATAAAATACAAGTACGTATGAACCAAACCAATGAGCTTTTTACTTACTTGCATGTAATAAATGTATTTGCAATTATTAATTCAATAAATTTGCCATTCAATTTTTTTTTATCAGAGATCAATACTTGGCTATAATATTATTATCGGTAGTTTTAATAATTATTGACTCTTTGCATTAATTATTTTACTTATGCCATGCCAGTAACTAAGAAAAGACCAAAAATGGAAATTATGAATTAAGTAATGGGTTGTTTTGTTTCATATTTAACGGAGAGAGTTTATGGGACGGTTTATATTAAAAAATCTTTATCTTTGAAAATTAAATTCCTCCAATAGACAAATACAAAAATTAAATTGATTCAATAGCAGTGATGAATGTGAAGAATAATTTTAATAAAAGGAGGTCCGCATACACTGGAAAACGACTGAGACACCTGTAACACTTCATCTATGATAAATACATACATACATATAACGAATATACAGTTATCGTGACAGCAATTACGAAGAATATGGTGGCATATTTATGCCATCCACAAATATGCCACCATAGAAGAGGCAGTACTTGTCAACGCAACAATTTTAGTCATGAAACAAGATAAATAATCTCGCCATGTCGAGATAGCTATTGCAAAAAATGTGATACCTTATCTTGACTAGACGAGATAGAAGTTGGTCTATCTCGAAAAAAAACAGCAACTTGACTTGACGTGATAGTTATCTTGACTTGACCCGATATCTTATGTAAAAAAAATTATTTGGATGGCAAAAATATGCCACCATAAGAATTAAATATGAAAAGTGACATTTTGTATGAAATATATGATTGGATATTGATACTAATTTAATCACAAACACATCATAATGGCGAGGTGTCAGAAAAACTGCACTCTTTACACTAAATTTCTATCAAAATTGCCGATGTTTGCAAGAATATTTTACATACTCGCCTGAAGATCTAATACCAGAGTGGGTGTGTAGCCTGTCGACCAATCAGATAATGAATGACAAGCCTCTCTACACGTATTATTCCTGAATTGTTTCAGATGTACATCTGCTTTCAAATATTTATTTTTAACTTACTACATAATCTTTTGACAAAATAATTGGAATATTTGTTATTGTACACCAATACACAAGTAAGTAATATCACATCCATCTCTCCCTCCTATTTCTCTCACTACAGTTTTTGTCTTACCGAGCTGACATTCCTGCACCCCTCCACTGACCACCTCCTGGACAAAATATCTAATTTCCTCTGAGGTAAGGGCCATTCCGTCCCTCTTTTTGGTAAGCAAATCTGGGATTCTGAACATTGTAAGCTGCCACGTTTCGATCCTATAATCAACGCGCGTGTAAATCAATCTTGTTCTGTACAAGTCTTTTTAAATGAATATAGGATGAGGCACGGAAAGGGTTAATATTCCTCTTAATCAGTTTCAGTTTCACTTTCGCTACTTGTTTATTCATTTTATTTGGATCTACGCAAAAATTCTTTTCACAGGATTAAATCATTCAGTCCAGGGAATGGTAAATGAATGCCCGCTGAAAAGTCATTAAAGGTCATAATGTAGTAAGTTTATTTTCGAATAAAAAATATATAAAAGTGAACATTAAAAATGCTTGGCCATGGAGTGGAGTGGAGTGGAGTCTTGTGGAGTCATGGAGTGGAGTCTGTATCATAACAGTACAGAAAGTTCAGAAAGTTATAAAAACAATTTGATTTCTCTTACATACAATCATTCCCTTATTACATGGATTTGGGTTAGTGTGTGAAGAATGAAAAAAAAGTAAATAATGACCTTTAAATGTCACACAGGGACAAAGACTCTGCCATTCAATAACAATGCACATAGACAAAGCTATGTCTTGTTGACAGCTTTCATATTAAACTGATAAACAGCAATTACTGGTTGATTTTTTTTATGAACTTTTACTACTAAAGTGCAAAGTGACCTCTTTGTTGATATTTGATGTTATTATTTATTTTTCCTGTATATCATTACATTGTTTGTATTTTATTTCCCTGTTTAAATTAAGGGTGTGTGTGGTGGTGGGGCGGGGGGGGGGGGCTACAGAAGATTCAATGTCCATCAGATTTAGCAGTTAATGGAATCCAAGACTAATTATAAAATATATAAAGGAAAATATTTATTGAAATATACTCAACTACTCCTATTGTTATAAATGTATCTAAAACTTTGTAAAGTACACATTGTACTTTAGTATAACTAGTGATGCAGGATTCACTAACTTGAATTTTTATCTTTCTGTGTTTGGTAGGGTTTAATGCTTTAATTCCTGTCTATGATTAGTTTCACCAATATCTGAACAAACATAGGCTTATTTAATAAATGTTACTCAAAAGAGATATATATGTTGAGGTATTGCTGTATTTGTATATTACATCAATGTACTGTATCACATGCAGTCTGTATCACATGCAGTCTATCAACCACTGAAAACAATGATGTAGGTTCACTGGTGTGGGTTCACTGATGGAATTTATTTAATTGGAGAATGGGAATGTTAAAAAATGTCAATCCCCATAATGATGTGCTGAAAGGTTTTGGTTACTCATTGTTTTAAAAAGGATACTAAAGCAGGATGCTGTCAACTTGGTTCTAGTATTACAATCACATAGTTATCTGCAATGGACACATCTTTCAATGCCTCTTTATAATTACATTAAAATTTATTTAAGTTTGTCTTTGATGTTGCTGAGGCAGCGAATATTCCCCATACTTGGTACAATATATAAGTACCTTAATAAACTAAAGCTTCATTCCAAAAAAAACCCTTACAACATATGATAGCAGTCTTACGGCAATTTTTGTTACAATTTTGAAAAAAAAATGTCGAAGAAGTTTTTCCTGCAAAAATCCTATGCTGATGCTGTGCGAGGTAAGGGCAAGCAAATAATTTTGTTTTTGTATTAAAAATAAAATTTTGTTTTTTATTTAAAATGTTTATCAATTCATTTAGTTAGTTAGTTATTAATTAATTAATTTATTAAATTATTTATTTATCCTTCAAACTATCTATCTATCTATTGATTCAAAGATGATTATTTTAATATGATATGATATACTCTGTATCTGAAACTATTGAAATATATATTAATTTTTATTATTTCAGGTTCACACGTGTCAGAAGAAAATGCTTTGGAAAGTGATGGATTTCCGGGGGAAGGTGTATTGAAACCAAAGTATATGTGCTTTTCATACACCAATCTTAGCAGTTCAGGATCATCAGAAGATTTGCCAGTCCTGGTCAAGAGCAAAAAATCATTAAAAAGAAAAGGGAAAAAACATGGAAGTCCTTCAAAGAAGATCTGTTTTCGAGATGACATAATTGAAATCTCAGATTCTTCTCCAGAAAAGTCACCAAGAAAAACTGCTTGTTCACCTTTGAAAACAGCAAGAAGGAGGCTTACTCATCCAGACACAGAGGAAAGCCACAATGATGTTCACATTTTGTCTTCCTCATCTGACAATGAAAAGTCTCCAGAGAAACCTGTTTCAAGCATTTCCATAGCATCAGCAAAGAGGAAGCATACTAGTGTTGATTCAGATTCCAACTCTCTTCCTGACATAGATGAAAGGTCTGAAGTTCCATTATCTGGTTCAGTTGAGGATTTTTATCAAAGTGATCCATTAATGCCTATTTACAAAAGACTTTCAAAAGGTATTCAAAACAAAAGAAGTGAATAAAGTGTTACTACAGCATTGGGATGAAAATTCTATAGCCAAGAACATTCCCTCACAAATAAATGAAAATGTCTCCTTTTTATACAGTGTCAAATTCATCGGTCACTGGAAGAATACTCTGTGTGACGGAATGGGCTCTTGGAAACAAATGGGAAAACAAGTTTCACTTATAAATATTTCTAAAATTGATTTTGAAATTTCACATGATGTGAAAGAAGTTTTGAAAGAAAATGTGGTGCTAAAATCCATTCGACATAAATATGTGAATAATACATCCCCTGACCTACACAGGGTAATTTTACACATGGAAACAGAAGATGGGACTGTGCTAGACCTCGTTTTTGCACAATACTACTTTGAAAATGAACCACATTCTTTTATACCAAATCCACACAAAAACAGCAAACAGCTGGAAAAATATCAGCGAACTAGTGAGAGCACTAAAATGAGGATTCAAACTTTAGTTGATGAAAATCAACAAAAGACATTTTTCATACCATAATAGAAGAGCAAGGAGGCATAGAACACACACCAGGTGGATTATTTCTTCCTCGAGATAGACAACAAATCAAAAATATTTCAAAAATGAAAAAATCAAGTACAAGCAATTTCGATTCACTTGCAGAACTAATGGACTTTGCAAAATCACAGGAGCAAATAAAAGATGTATTTGTACGTGAAGTAAGATGTGCTCCTGAATTTACTGTGTTTTTAGCTTCAAATCGCCAGCTTAAAGAAATGGAGAAATATTGTACGAATGCAAAGAATTTTTCAAAACTGGGCATTGACACTACCTTTAATATAGGTGCTTTTTATGTCACAGTAACAACTTATCGAAATCCAATGTTAATGAGTAAAAATGGAAATGAACCAGTCATGATTGGACCAATTTTGATACACCAGAAGAAAAACTTTGATAGTTATTTTAAGCTTTCTTCCTCAATTCTGCAAATATGCCCAGAAATGAAAAATTTAAAGGCGTTTGGAACTGATGGAGATAAAAATTTGTCCGATGCCTTTGAAGTTTGTTTCACATCCTCAAAACATTTATTGTGTGACATCCACATGCAAGATAACATAGAGAGAAAACTTAAAGATCTAGGAATAACAAAAAGCAAAGCCAGGGAGTATATTGATGATATTTTTGGAAAAAGAACTGGGGAAGTCAAAATAAAGGGATTAGTGGACTGCATGAGTTCTGAAGAATTTGACCATAAATTGCAAAATCTATATGAAAAATGGAAGTCATTACACCAAAATGGAAACTTATTCTTAAAATATTTTGTTGAATTCAAAGCAGATTTGATAAGAAATTGTATGTCTGCAGAGTTGCGAAGTCTTTCAGGACTAGGTTTTCCACCAAAACCCTATAACCAAAATGCCAATGAATGCATGAACTCGGTCATCAAAAGTGACCTAAAAAAGGATGGTCATCACTCAAAAATCAATGAAAAGGAAGTCGTTTTAGCCTTGGAGAAAACTGTGAAAAGGCAAGAGGCAGAAGTCAAATTGTCTTTAATTGGAAAGGGGGAGTATCGTTTAAAGAAAGAATACCAACATCTTCAAGTACCAGACAACATATATTGGAGAAAAACACCACTACAAAGAGAGGCAGTTTTTTCAAAGTTAGTATAATATTTAATATGTATTTTGTCTCGATAATCTGTCATATTTATCATTCCTCTTTCTTAAAAAAACATTTTTACTTAATATTAACAGGATGCTGAAAGAGCCATTACTAGCTCTGGGAGAGGACTTCACATGCCATACTGGTGAATTAGAAGATCTTCAAGAAAATTCATCACTTCCCATTTCAGCAGAGAACAGCCAAATTACAAATATTCCATTTCAAATTTTGAAAAATATATTTGAGGAAGCTCAAACTATTATAAATTCTGTGAACGGAATTGTTGAAATGCCAGGATACAAAGACAGATAATCTTTATTTATATTGAACGTTGCACATCCGAAGGATCCATATAAAGTATGCAAACTGAAAACTACAAGCTTTTTTACCTGCGAAAATAGATGTCATCGGTTTTCCAGTTTTAAATTGTGCAGTCATACGATTGCTGCTGCAAACTACTGTGACATTCTTAAAGACTTTATCAAAATTTACAATGAAAAGTATAAATCTTTAGGTACTAGTCTAACTAAAATGGCGCTAGCAAATATGCCAAAAAGTAGAGGTCAAAAGCCAAAAGGAACCTCAGTACGAAAGGGTCAGATTAATAAATGTAGTACTGAAATTATTGAATTTAAAACACCACATACACCTTCGCTTGATCAACCCTTTCATCTCACATTTTTGGCTGGAATTGTGAAGAAATGTTATGGATGTGGACGGTGTTTTTCTGATAGACAAAGGTCACCACCAAATGATCTTATATTAAAACGCTTTGATCATAGAAAATATTTAAGTCCAAACTCTAAAACCTATAAAACAACACCAACATTGCAAAATACATATTATCATTTAAATTCAGACTGTTGTAGAAGAAAATGTCCTTTGTTTGAAATTTCTAGAGACGTCATTGTACATAGAGAAATCATGTCTCAGTTAACTGCAGACCATAAAGATGTGTTACAAAAGTTAAATGTATCCCTTCAGTAAAATGGACATACTTGTACACTGAACACTGAAAAAAGTGAATAAAGTGTTTTGCTTTATCTAA